ACTTGTATCATACCAATTAGTGTTTCGCCATACCAAAGGTGGCATTCACTTTATAGGCAGTAAAACTTTGGCTTAGAGAAGTTGATTTTAATTTGTTGAGGGTCCCACAGTCAGCCCGGGGCTGAACTATGGTCTTAACCACTAAGCTATTTCAGAGAATAATTTCAATGTACTCATTAAAATTGTCACTTAACAAAACATACACCCACAATTTATTTCCTGAGACATTATGTTCCTAAGTTTATTGCTTGTTAATTATTCTTTGTGTTCATGCAGTGATAATCCTATATTTTCTTACTAGCTACCAGTACAATCTGAACACAGACAGGATGCATTCTTTTGTTTAGCAATGAAGAAAACAAATCATGATTTACCTACAGGCGTTCTAGCAGTTTTTGTGATTTGCCTGAAGTCTCAGCTGTGGATTTTATGACACAAGATTGGATAGCACAATGCAAAGTGATGTTTCTTTTCCTGCTGAGAAACAGATGACTGTACTCCAGCAGGTCTAACCCTAAAAAGCTGGATTTGTAAAGTTACCACTTAGCTCCCAGGGAGAAGAAACCTTCCTCAGACTGCTGGGCTCAAAGGCTTGGCGGTTGGGATCTGGACAAATTAGTGTGAAACCAGACAAACACAGTGTGGTGCTTCATCTCCCAAACTACTGTTTGAATGTATCAGGACACTTTTAACCACCTTACTTTGAAAATAGCAGGTAGGATGAGTTACCACCAAATATAAAACCGATATACAACTTTTAAAAAGGGAAACCCTTAATTTAAATTTATGTAGTGACTCACTTCTGAAATATTTATAGCATATTTACTGTGTCCTAGACAATTTGTGGTGCCTGGGAAAAGAATGATGAACAAAAGCAGACAGGCACGGTCCCTATTTCTGATGAAATTGTGCATTCAGAGGTGGGAACACACTACCTTTGTGGTGTTTATTAACTGATTTTTACTACCTTAGGGTCTCAAATGAGAATAAATGTGACTGTCAACCACACACTAACATAGCCTGTGTAATTTTTTTTATATTTGACTTTTCAGATTACTATTTACACTAAGATACTGAAAACATTTAAGAACACATATATCTATGAATTAGAGAGAAAAAATATGGATTAGAATAAAAGAAAAAGAAGCCATGTTGCCACACTGTAGGTAAAGGCTTACATTGAGGTGAGTAGGTGCCCTGTCAAATCACCAGGGCTCAACACCACTGGTCCAATCTCTGATTTCCTTGAAGTGTTGGGAAAGCTGTGTTACTGACAACAGCATGAAGGCCACCAGGGAGATGGGACTATTTCCATATAGTTTTCACAGTGCAATGAACAAGTGTAAGCTAGTTCTGTAACCACTCTCAAGGGCCATGTGGAATAAGTCTCTGAACCCCTTTCATACATGATATTTTCCCTACTGATCCTGGTCCCTACACCTGGTCCACACTTCCCTATCCCTCCAAACTTCCTACATACAATCATCCTGATACATCATACCTCTTATGCACAAACTATGGAACTGCTCTTCTTCTTCTGCAGACATATTCTCCAATGGCCCAGTTTGCTATGGGTTGGCCTGAGATCACCTTTTCAGTTCTAACTCTTTGTTCTTTCTTTACAGGTACCTTGTCATTATCCTAAGGCAGTTTAAAAGGATCAGGTATCTTTACACATACTAGCAAGTACAGAACTTTTGATAAGATCCACTGTGCTATCATTTTTTTTTAGCAATAATGGATATGCATATCACATCCCTTAGGTACAGCACCACACCTAAGGATAAACATAAGACTCTGGAACACATGGCCATCCCTAGAGAGGCAACTCTGGAGCTCAGGTCTTTAGGTGGGAGATCCAATTTCTACCATATGTAATTTTCCCTCTCTGCAACTTAAATTGGACAGTAGGTGCTTAGATTTACTTAAACACATATGCCTCGGATTTACTTGTGAGAATTTTCTATGAGTCTCCCTTCCTTACTTTCTCACTTCTATGTAACTTGATTTCACTTTCTTCAGAAGCATATGCCTTAAACCTCACAGTTGTCCCATAGTGAATAATCTTGCCTTGTTTACATATCAGTTTTATACTGTTATTTGTAGGCATTATTGCTTCCCTTATGATGTGTAAGCTTTTAGAAAGCTTTTCTGCCTGGGCGGTCTTAGTCATAATTTTGGCTGTAATAGCTGAAAATTCATACATGTGAGGGTGGAGAATGGAGACAACTGAAAGCTACAATGCCATTTAGTATTCTGCTCTCAGTGCCTGGCACAGAGCCTGTTGAGTAAACAAGAAGTATGTCTACTCACTGGTGGAATTTCTGTTTCCAGCTTGTGTTTTTAGGATTATGGTTTTGATTCACAATAGCGCTTGTTCAATAATTAAAGGCATAAACAATTTTGACAGCTGCAAAACCATCTACCATTCTTTAAGTTACAAAGTTGCTCAATGATTTCCAAGAAAGGGGAAAAGAAAGTATCAGAGGACTGTTTCGAGGATGAAGTAAGAGATCACCATTCTAATGAAAAAAATCTGAAGTCAAACAATTATTACAGAGAATTTCCATTTCATAGCTAACTTCTAAACATGTTTTTCTTCAGCCCCTTCATCCCCGCCCCTTCTGCATAGCGAGCCCTTCAGCTTCACCCACAGCCCTAATTATCAGGCTTGCTCCACTCTGCGTCACAATGGCTATTTCAAGCACTTGTATAATCATCACCTCTCCTGCTCTGTCTTCCACTTTCCCTCACAGTCAGCTTGACTTTAGAGTATCAAGAGGTCATCTGACCTGTGCACTATATTGCTAACTTCTGTTTGGTACCTGTATTCCTGGTAAGTTTTTTATCCTTTTTCCAAATTGACAGCAAGTGATATAGCAATGAAAACAACATCCTAAGAATTCATATTTTTTTCTTAGATTATTTTTTTCTTTTTCAGTTTTGGACTTTGAACTCAGGGCCTCACACTTTCTACCTGAGATATTAAAGTAATACAACTACCTGAGCCACTCAGCCAATCTCTCCCCCTCCTCCATTCCTTCCCTCCTTCCTTCCCTCCTTCCTTCCTTCCTTCCTTCCTTCCTTTTCTCTTGAAATACTGGAGTTTAAACTCAGGGTCTTATGCTTGCTTAGCTTGTTTGACTGGTGTTATTCCATTTAAGCCATGTCTCCAATCTTGATTTTTGCTAGTTGTTTTGAAGATGGGCTGGACTCAAACTGAGTCTTCCAGATCTCAGCCTCCTGAATAGCTAGGATGACAGGTATAAGCCACTGGTGCCTGGCTCAATTCCTTTTTGCATTCATTACTTTCCAGTAAGGATCTTGCTTTTTTCTTGGGTCAGACTGGACTGAAATCCTCCTATTTATGCTACCTTTGTCAGTGACAAAGTGACAGTGACAGCTGTATACCACTGAATCCGGCCACTGTGCTTTAGCCATAGGGTAGGATAGTAGGTGCATGCTACTTTGCCCAGCTATAGACTGAGATGAAGTCTTAAAAACATTTATGCTTGAGCCATTCATCTACTGAGGGGCATCTGGGTTGGTTCCATATCTTAGCTATAGTAAATAGTGCTGCAATAAACATAGTTGTGCTGGTAGCTTTAGTGTGGTCCTGTTTGTAAACATTTGTGGTATATATACACAATGGAATTCTATGCCTCCATCAGAAAGAATGACATTGCCCCATTTGTTAGGAAATGGGAAGGCTTAGAAAAAATTATATCAAGTGAAGTAAGCCAGGCCCAAAGAAACATAGGTCCCATGGTTTCCCTTATTTGCAATATCTAATATATGTCTGAGTCAAGCAGAAAAAGTCAGATAAGGTGATGTTAGGGAAATGAACCCTAAGATATGTATTCAAATGTTTTTTACTTGCATGCAATTGTTTCTAACACATTTATAAGATGATTTCTTTGTTGCTTTGTATGTCCCTCCCCCATGGTATAACCCCTGATTTCACTGTATTTGGTGTTGGTATAATTTGTGGAGGGGAAGGGCAAAAACAAATCGTTTAAATAGGGATACAGGTGCAACAATGAGATGTACAATGAGATGTTGTTATGTTGAAAACGAACTTTACAACTTTGGTGTGGGGAGGGGGGAGAGGGGAGGATTGGGAGGCGGGGAGGAGGATGGGAAGGGGAAACAAAGGAGGAGGCAACAATGCTTGATAAGAAATGTACTCATTATCTTGCCCACGTAATTGTAACCCCTCTGTACAGTATTTTCATAATTAAAAAAAAAGAAATAAAACATATAAACAGCAAAAAAACAAAAAAACATTTATGCTTGGGCTGGCCTTGATTTATGATCCCTTGATCTCTACCCCTTGATCTCTACCCCCAAAGTAGCTAGAATTACATGCTCAAGCCAGCTAGGAATGGCTATTTTGTACTATTCAACAGCGTTGTTAAGGAGAGGGGGCCTTATGTTTGTGCTGCTTGCTTGCAAAGCAGGCCCTCTTTCACTTGAACCATGTCTCCAGTCCCTCTTTATGCTGGCTATTTTTGGAGATGGAACCTAGCAGACATCTTCCGCCTGAATCTCAGTCTCCAAAGTTGCTAAGATTACAGGAATGAGTCACTAGTGTTGACTGTTTCCAAAATTTAAAAAGAAGCAATACATATAAAGCAGATATGCAATGCTTAATCTGCAAAATAGAAAACCCAGATAGGAACAAGCCCCAGTCAGTCAGCAATATCTATCCAGGGGTGAGGGATGGGGAGAAGAGGTTGGTCTAACAGGGTGTTTAGGGGTGGGGGTGGGGGGTCTTCACAAGGGGATTTCTAAAGGAGCTTTTCCATCTTACAATATTAAGGCGATCTCTGGCCCTTTCTTTTAGCCTTCACAGATACAAAGTTTTCAACAAGTTACATCAAAGTGTGAAAATGGTGTGACAGGAAAACAATGTATTCCCACATGTATATGAACATAGAATAAAATAATACAAGGTAGTTAAGTAGGCACAGATGGTTTTGAGAAACAATGTTACTTACATCAAGGGAGCCTTCATTGATGACGATCATTCCCATGTTCTTCTTCAGCAGTTTGCAGGAATGCCCTGAGTACACAGAGGAAATTGAGGATACAATTAATGTTTCCAGGGAAGTGAGATATTAAAGTGATGATACTATCAAAACATCTAAAAAGGATTTATTTTTTAAAAAAAGGAGTAATGGTTTTTCTAGGTTTACAAGAAGTTAAAAATGAAATCCTTGCCTGGGCACTGGTGGCTCAAGCCTGGATTTTAGCTACTCAGGATGCTGAGATCTGAAAGTTGTGGTTCAAAGTCATCTCAAGCAGCAAAGTCCATGAGACTCTTATCTTCAATTAATCATCAAAAGGCCAGAAGTAGAGCTGTGGTAGAGCTCATGTGGTAGAGCACTAAGCCTTGAACAAAAAAACCCTCAGGGACAGCATTCAGGCCCTGAGTTCAAGCCTCATTACACACACACACACACACACACACACACACACACACACACACACAAAAAAAACAACATAAAATTCTCTTAATTGCTACAAGAGATAAGATACAGTGAGTTTTTTTTTGTTTTTTTGTTTTTTGGCAGGAGAGGAGGGAGCTGTGTTCAAAACACTACAGAAGAGACCGTGGTAAGGATTCTCAGTGAATTAAAGGTACCAAATGTATATGGACATCCTTCCTAATGGCCAACAGCAAGCGCTAAAGAAACCAATGGCTTTCCAAATCACTGTGGAAGAGGAGAGGATGGCTACCCCTTGCATCCAGGTCCCCGGCCCCTTCCCTCCAGGGACACTGCAGCATTCTCTCCCTGCTGTCTTCTTTTGCAATGGTAAACTGGCTCTATCGCAAACCTCTCCTTTCCTACATCCATCTCTGCCTGTAATGCCAGCTTGCTATAGTGGAATGTGGTTGGAGAAAAACAGGGAGCCCTACCAAGTCCATTTGTGATCTCATTCCATTGCATGGTTTGGAATATTCTCTCTCTCTCTCTCCTCTCTCTTCTTGTGGTCTCATGCTGTAGACAATTTTTCTTTTTGTATGCTATTGGTACCACAACATTGACTACTCATTTTCTTTTTAGTAAGACCTCTGTTATGGAATTGTGTCTCCCTGCCCCCAAATTCACATGTTGATACCAGAACTCCAATGAGACTATGTTTGGATACAGGACCCATGAGGAGGTACATGGGATCATAAGGGTGAGGCCTCTTATTGTCTGAATAGTTATGCTTCTCCAAAATTCATACACTGGAATATAACTACCAATGTGATGATAATAAGAGGTGGGGCCTTTGGGAGGTTATTGGGTCACAAAGGTTGAACCAATCATGTAGGAGACCAGTGTCCTTCAAAAGGACACCAAAGAGATGCGTGAAACAGACACTGGATCTGTTGAGATTCTGACTCTGGGTTTTCCAGCCTCTAGAACTATGAGATGTAATTTCTGTTGTTTCTAAGCCCCTGGGTTTAGGGTATTTTTGTTATAGTCTTGCAAAGGGACTAAAGCAGGGCTCAGAAGTAATAGGACTAGCATCCTTATAAGACAGAGAGGGGTGCAAATGCTAGAAGGCCAGGTGAAGACCTGCAAGTAACTTCTGCAAACGAGGATGGGTAGCCTCAGCAGACGGCTATACTGCAGGAACCTTGGCTTTGGATTTCCAATCTCCTGAGCCATGAGAGAAAAATTTCTGTTAAAAGCCACCCAGTCTATGATAATCTGTAACAGAAACTTAAACTGAATCACCTGAAGTCTTTTAAAAAACATGGGAGTTGAGCGAGTAGAATGAATGCAAACTGGCAAACCTTCTTATTTCTTAACTTAGAAACAAGTGTTAGTCACCCGGCAGTGATAGTGCAGAAGCATTGCCAGAGCTCCAGTCACCATAGGAGGAAGGATGGGGCAGGTGGAGATACAAAGGTGAGAGGTCTGTGCTGCTGCAGGAGATAAAGTTGGGCTACACAGAGATCGCTTCCCTTTCAAAGGAGCCACACGGACACTGAGAAGCCTAATAACCTTACAGATCCGGAAAAATCTTTCCAATCTCAAAATGTCTCTAATCCATTTTACTAAAATGTACCAACCTGTTAAAAAGCACCCAGATTTAAAACTTGAATCAGGCGGCTTACCTATGTTAATGGCAGTTTCTTGCTTGTCCCCTGTAAGGATCCAGATTTTGATGTCCGCTTTCATTAGTGTCTCTATGGTTTCAGGCACTTGATCTTGTAATTTATCCTCAATGGCTGTAGCTCCAAGTAGCTGCAGATTCTGGTGAAAATGAATGAGAAAAATGCTAAGAAAACCAGTTTTAGGATCTGTAAGAGCAAAAGCCAAAGGATGTATTTGTTTCAAAATTACAGGCATAACAGTAATTCATGGATTTTGGTATAAATTCCAACTATCCCACTGAGTTTTTGCTCTTAAAGACCCTTGATTTTCATCCAGTAATTCTGGCATGAGAGTGAGAGTCTCTGAAGTTGTCTAACTTTACCTCTCCCTAAGGTTGATTGCTTCCCCAAACATAGCCCCTGCCCCCCACAGATGGAAATAAAAAGTCAATTGAAAAGGAGCAGACAGCTACTAAGAAAAACAAAACAGTGGAAGATTAACACAATGAAGAAGCAATTTCATTCACTTAAGTGTAAAGATAATATGCAAATATTATTAACTATTACTTTGATATACAATGTCAGGAAATATACATACAGGATACAATTAGAAATATGAGGAAGACAGCAAAAACCAAAATGATAGTACTCATCTCTCAAAGAAAAAATAAATAAGGCAGACACTTGTGGCTCATTTATGTAATCCTAGCTGTTCATGAAAAGGCTGAGATCTGAGGATCTCCCAGGCAGAAAAGCCCATGAAACTCTTATCTCCAGTTAACCATTAAAAAGCCAGAAGTGGAGCCGTGGCTCAAGTGGCTGAACACTAGCATTGATCAAAAAACTCATGAGTTCAAGTCCCAGGACCAGAAAAAATAAAAGGAGTGTTTTTCACATTGTTGAACAACTGCATGTTAGAAGTCCAGACTATCACAAATCCCTCATTCATTAAATAGGATCTTTCATGTAAGACCAAATACAGCCAATACTTCAGAGATACTCTAGAGATATATCTAGAGATCAAAATAAACAGCACAATGAAAAAAAATCACATTAATTTTTTTCCCAGCGAATATAAAACATGTTTATACTATATATAGTATATGTGTACATAATATACTTTACATAGTATATAGTATACATACCATATATAATGTATGTATATACATATATATATATATTATAGTTCATGCTATACTATATAGTATGTAGTAACACTATACTTAAAAAACCAACATAAGTAAAAAAAAAGTAATTTGTGAGGCCGGGAACAGTAGCATATACTTGTAATATTAGCTATTCAGGATGTAGAAAATGTATGACCATGGTTTGGTACAATTTAGGGCAAAAGCAAGCAAGAACTTATCTCAAAAACAAGCTGTAATTCCAGTCATGGTGTAAAGATGGCTGGCCTGTGCAAAAGCTTGACACCCTAAAATTAACAGGACTTGAGGTTGGCTCAGATGGTAGACCATTTGCTTAGCAAGCGACAGGTCCTGAGCTCAATCCCTAGTACTACCAAAAAAAGTAATTTGCTGCTAAGAAATGCTAATAGTTATCCGTGCCTTTAGCAAGTTATAATGCTTCTGCTGGTGAAGGGTCTTGCTTTGATGTTAATGATTGCGCCAGTTTCGTAACAGAAGACAACAAGGAAATCCACAGGGAATGAAATCTTCTTTCATGAAACATTTTCTCTGCAAAAGATGTTGCAATTTGACTGTATTCTATTCACAATAGAAGTTCTTTCAAAACTGGAGCCAATCATTCACTCTTGGTATTGTAGCTTGAACTCAGGGCCTTACGCTTGCTAGTCAAGTACTCTACCACTTAAGATATATCTCTAACCATTATTTTTTACTTGGTTCTTTTCTTTTTTTTTTTTTTTTTGGGTCCAGTCGTGGGGCCTGAACTCTGGGCCTGGGCACTGTCCCTCAGCTCTTCAGCTCAGGCTACTGCTCTACCACTTGAGCCACAGCGCCACTTCCGGCTTTTTTCTTTTTGCTTATGTGGTGCTGAGGAAATGAACCCAGGGCCTCATGCATGCAAGGCAAGTGCTCTACCACTGAGCCACCTTCCCAGCCCTTGCTTGGTTATTTTCAAGGCAAGGCCTCATTTCATGCCAAGACCTGCCTGGACTGTAATACTCCTACTTGTGTTTCCCTGTGTCACTGGGATGAAAGTCATGTACCACTGCACCCAACCATTATGCTAGCTGGAAAAACAGGCATGTGTTACTGTGCCCAGCCATTGGTTGAGACTGAGTAATAGAAACTTCCTTGTGCTTCAGCTGGCTTTGAACTGCAATCTCTATTTCTGAAGCTAGGATGACAGGCTTGAGACATTCTACCCTGGTGGAGAAAATCCTTTCAAAATGGACCATTGCCAGCAGGGTGGCGGTGGTTCACGCCTGTAATCCTAGCTACTAAGGAGGCTGAGATCTGAGGATCGTGGTTCAAAGCCAGCTGAGGCAGGAAAGTTCTTCAGCCTCATTTCCAATAAACTACTCGGAAAAGGTCAGAAGTGGCATTGTGGCTCAAGTGGTAGAACACTAGTCTTGAGTAGAAGCGGCTCAGGGACAGCCCCCAGACCCCGACTTCAAGCCCCAGGACCAGCAACAAAACAAAACCAAAACCAAAAGAAAACTCTACTACTGCCCTATGAACTAAGTTTCTTGTCATATTCTAAATACTGTGCTGGAATTTCAACGATGTTCAGAGCATCTTTATCAGATTCCATTTCAAGAAACAGCTTTCTTTGTTCACTCTTAAGAAAGTACTCCTGGAGTCTTTAACTTCTATATCCTATATGGGGAGCAGGAAATGTTTCTCTCCTTTTCTATTTCTCCCCACTTTAATCCTGCTGTACTTTTTTTTTCTTAAAAAAATTAAGAAACAACTCCCTATCCATTAAAGAGTTATCATGAGATTGCAGTAGTTCTTCAAGTCTTCAGGCTCCAGCTCTGATTGTGGTTCATTTGCTATGTCTATCATGTCTGTTTTACTTCTCACTCAAAGTCATCTATGAAAGTTAGAATCCACCTCTTTTAAGCCCCTGCTAATATTTTTGTCTGCTATGAACCACAAATGTTAATGCCATCGAGAATGACAAATTGTTTTCAATTTGCTGTGCCCAGATAGACCTATGAGAGAACCACACTGCCTACACAGCTAGAGCCTCCAGGAAAGAACTTATTAAATAATATCACTTGGAAGTAGAAATCATGCTTTATTCCATGGACTGCAGAATGGATATTATGTTACCAGGCATGAAAATGTAATTCTTGTTTTTGTCTATCAGAATTCTTGAGTGACCAGGTAAACTATCGATAAACAATAATATTTCAAAAGGAATCTTTCTTTTCCCTCTTCTGGGCTGTAGGACCTAGTAATATGCTTCAAATATTCAGGAAACTACATTACAAATAGATATAACATACAGGTTTTGTTATTCCAGTTACAGAGCATGGGCAGAGTTACAGAGGAGATTTCATGTTAAGGGCTCTAGGATTTTCAGAATGCCAAATGAGCACTAGCTTACTTAATGTTCCTCGCTGATTCAGTCCCCTCTGAAGATTCAGTCTGCCATTTGAAATCCGATATTGACTTCTCCTCTCTGGCTATGAAAGTGCTAGTGGGCATTTTCTTTGGTCTCCAGGAGTATCTATTGCTAGTGTAGCCACATTCACCAGTGATCTCCCCATACTTTCCTGACCACCTGCTGTAGGGGTCTACAGCAGCACCTGCTGCCTCCCTCCCTCCCCACCCCCCCGCACTTCTATGTAATGGAGATGCCCTCTTTCCTTACGCCCCATGAGCAATGAACAACTTGAGTCGGTTTGGACTTCTCTTCCACAGATCTCTCTGACCCCTTTCAGTCTTTGCAGCACTGAAGAGGGTTCAGGCCTTGTTCTGAATTAGGCTTTGGCTTAAGACAATGCTATGTCTGGTCTGATCTTCTATCCCTACTACTAAGACTTTTCCATATCAACAACAGGACTGTCTTGCTTTCCTATCATTTGTGAGTTCACGGGATCGGCACTTCTAACTTCCTTAGGTAACTCTTCCTTTGCATCCACAACTTGGCTGTGTGGTGCCAGAGCCCTCACCCCTTCCAGTTGGTCTTGGCCTTAACCTCTCTATGGAATCATCTCCGGCTTTTGAGTTTAAATGAGAAACTCTACTTTTCACTTAAATACATGGGGGTTATAATACGGTGCAGTTTCAATACTGTATCCCAGAGAATGGGAGCATAGATTACAGGGGAAAGCGAGATGGAGAACAGCTACGTTGTGAGACAATCAGAATACACACATTTATTAAATCCATTGCTTTATATGGGTGAGGTCCTGACACCTCCAAACAATTATAATAATGAACATCACTGACCACAGATCACAAATGTAATTTTGGTGCAGCAAAGTTTGAAATACTACAAAAATAATTAAGATATAACATGAAGCCATGAAGTGAGCACCCACCATTAGAAAAATGACAATACCACATTTGATCTACATGTGTAGGATTTAGGCCTGTACCAATTAAGAATGCTTTTGGATGCAAGTAATAGAAAATGATGACTAACAATGGCTAAAGTGAAGGTTTTCTTTCCTAACCTAAGTAGAGCTGACAGAGACAGTGCTGAGTACTATTAGATTAGGTGCTTAACTATCCATATTTATTCTCTTAGTTTCTCTGACTGGCTCAGAGTAGCTGTACAAATACAACTATAACAGCTATGTGAAAGATAAAAATAAGGAGGTAAGCCAGATGTGGTGGCTCAAGCTTGTAATTCTAGCTACTTGGAGGCAGAGACAAGGGGAACTCTGGGCCAAGGCCAGTTCAGGCATAAAAGTTTGCCTGATTTCATCCTGACTAATGTCTGTGCTAAATGGTACACACCTGCCACTGCATCAGGGAGACAAATAGGAAGATCACAGTCCAAGTTGGTCTAGCCTCGAAGTAATACACTGTCTCAAAAATTACTAACACAGAAATGGAGCTAGGGGTATAGTCAAAGTGAAAGAGTGCCTGGCTAGCAAGCATGAGGTCCTGAGTTCAAACCTCAGTACCACCCAAAACAAGAACAATAACAAAAATCAAAATGTACCAAGTGTATCTGATTCTTCTTAGAAAAGCAGAAATGCTCCTAAAACCTCCAACC